GGAGGAGGAGGCGGAGGAAGCTGATGGAGGTGATGATGGTGATGGTGATGGCGATGATGATGATGAGGATGATGATGAGGAGGGGGAGGAGGAGGAGGGGGAGGAGGAGGAGGAGGAGGTGTGGAGGAGGAGGAGGAGGAAGAGGAGGAGGGATAGGAGGAGGAGGAGGAGGGAAAGTAGGAGGAGAAGGAGGAGGAGGCGGAGGAGGAGGAAGAGGAAAAGGACGAGGAGGAGGGAAAGGATGAGGAGGGGAGGAAGGGGGTGGAGGAGGAGGAAGGGGGGAAAGGAGGGGACGATGGGGGGAGGAGGAAGAGTAGGAGGAGAGGAGGAAGAGCAGGGGGAAAGAGGAGGACGAGGAAAAGGTGTCGTTTTCGGCCGCCTCGGGCTGCCTTGGGGCGAGGAGCGCCCAAAAGCTTTTCGAACCACGACCGCGAAACCCGACGAATAACCGAAGTGCATTCAGCCTTCAACCTCCTCGTCCGTTGTTTGGCCGTTGCCCCGGGCGAAGCTAGAACCTAAGCGCGCGCGTAGCGCGCGCGTGGTTCTAGTACATATGTATATATGTATATGTATATGTATATGTATATGTATATGTATACAAATATATGTAGTCATACATATATATATATACACACGCATACCTGTATATATGTATGAAGCAACGTGATCGACCGCTGCTGGCAGAAAACAGGGGGGTCACTGAGGGTTTCAAGCAAGTCCCCCCCCCGAAAACCTTGGGGGGGGGGGCACTGGGGGTTCCGAGCCCCCCCCCCACTGGTCCATGATGAAAAGGGGGGGATCATTAGCGGTTCGAACTCTCCTCCACCCCCCCTCATCGGCGTTGGCAAACGACTCCCCCTCTTGCCCCACTCCAGATGGGGGACTGTGGTGGGGACAGTGGCTAGGACGGTGACGGGGATGGTGGTGGGGAGTAGGGACAGTTGGACAGTGGTGGGGACAGTGTGGACAGTGGGTCCGTGGTGGGGGCAGTGGTGGGGACACTGGGGACAGTGCGACAGTGGTGAGGGCGATGTGAGGGAACAGTAGGACAGTGGTGGGGACAGTGGGACATTGGTGGGGACAGTGGTGGTGGGGACAGTGGTGGAGTGGTGAGGATGGTGGTCGGACAATGGGACAGTGGTACAGTGTGGACAGTGGCGGGGACAGTGGGGACAGTGGGACAGTGGGACAGTGTTGGGGACAGTGGGAGCAGTGGGACAGCACAGTGGACAGTGGTGGAGACAGCGGGGACACTGGGGACAGTGGGACAGTGGTGGGGACAGCGGGGACAGTGGGACAGTGGGACAGTGGTGGGGACAGTGGTGGGGACAGTGGGGACAGTGCGACAGTGGTGGGGGCACTGGCGGGGACTGTGGGGACAGTGGCGGGAACAGTGGGGACAGTGGGACTGTGGTGGGGACATTGGAGCAGTGGGACAGTGGTGGGGACGGTGGTGGTGGGGACGGTGGTGGGGATAGTGGTGGGGACAGTGGGGACAGTGCGACAGTGCTGGGGGCACTGGTGGGAAGAGTGGGGACAGTGGGAGCAGTGGTGGGGAACAGTGGGGACAGTGGGACAGTGGTGGGAACAGCGGGGACAGTGAGACAGCACAGTGGGACAGCGGTGGGGACAGTGGGGCAGTGGTGGGGGCAGTGGGGACAGTGCTAAGGACAGTGGTGGGGACAGTGGGGACAGTGCGACAGTGGTGGGGGCACTGTTGGGGACAGTGGGGACAGTAGTGGGAACAGTGGGGGAAGTGGGACCGTGGTGCGGACATTGGGGACAGTGGGACAGTGGTGGGGACGGTAGTGGTGGTGACGGTGGTGGGGGCCGTGGTGGGGACAGAGGGGACAGTGGCGACAGTGGTGGGGGCACTGGCGGGGACAGTGGGGACAGTGGTGGGAACAGTGAGTAGATTGGGACCGTGGTGGGAACAGTGAGGAGAGTGGGACAGTGGTGGGGACGATGGTGGTGGTGGGGACAGTTATGGGGGCGGTGGTTATGACCATGGTGGGGACCCGGGAGATGGTTGCTGGCGGCGAGTGGCTGTGGGGGGGGTCGAACCTGTGGTGACCCCCCTTGGTTTTCTGAAGGGGTGCGGAGGGGATTCGAACCGGTAGTGACACCCCCCCCGGTTTTCCGGACGGGGGGGGCTTCGAACCGGTAGTGATCCCTACGGGCTTCCAGAAGCCCAGAAGCGGGGGGGGGAGGTTTGGGAGGGGGGTTCTTGCCCGGTGAGGGGGGGGGGTCGAGCAGGGGGGGATTGTCGGAGAGGGGTGGGGCACCCCCAGGTTCTGGAGGATTAGAGGATAATTTTCAACAGCAAAGCGGCGATGGATCACGCTCTCTCAGATGTATGTATGTATGTCTGTATGCATGCATGCATGCATGAATGTATGTATGCAAGTGAGTAAGTAAGTACACATGTGTATGTATGTATACCAGTATACACGTACGTGTGCCTATACACATGTATTTATCGATTTCTCTATCTTGAGGGCTTCGACCTTGGCCGCCGGCCCCCTATTGCTTGTGCGGGCGGCTGCGTCAGGGTCTCCTTGGGGCCTCTTAGGGGGTCTCCGTGGGGCCTCTTGGGGGCCTCTTGGGGGTCTCCTTGGGGCCTCTTGGACACAATATTTTGGGTCTCTTGGAGGTCTCCTTTTTCGCCTCTTGGGGGCCTCTTGGGGGCCTCTTGGAGCCTCTGGGGCCCTTTTCGGTTCGTGGACTTCCTCTTGGGCCTCTCTTGGGACCGTCTTCGGGCCCTTTTGGGCCGCCTGGGGCGCCTGTTGCACCGTCTTGGGACACTCTTCGGCCGTCATAGGGGCCGTCTTGGGGGCCTCTTGGACATTCATGAGGGCTTCTAGGGCCGTCGTGGGGCGATCTTGGGAACCTCTTGGTCCGTCTCGGAGCGTCGGAAAGCCGCAACGGCGAGAAGGCCAAAAACCTTCAAAAACGTTTGGAACATCGTTATTGTTTGCTTCGTGGGGCCCTCTTGGGAGGCCTCTTGGAGGCCTCTTGGGCCGTCTTGGGAGCATCTTGGGCCGTCTTGGGGCCATCGTGGGACATCTTGGGGCCATCTTGGGCCGTCTTGGCCGGCAATCTTGGCGGCCTCCGGGCCGTTCTGACCGCGCGGTGGCGTCACCATGAGAATCTTGGGGTGGCCTGGAGCAGCCTGGATTTGAGGTTCACCCCCCCGTTGGCTGTTTGGTGACGTGGCGAGGCCCCTTAGCAGACAGTAGACAGGAGACATGACACAGGACTGGAGAGACAAAAGGTCAAACAACAAATGACAACACATAACCTGCAGAAGTCTTTAATTTTGCCCCCCCCCTGGAGCTCTCGGCGGTGAATCAACTGGCCATCCCTTCTCCCTCCCTCCTCCTCCTGCTCCTCTTCCTCTTCCTCCCCCTTCTCCTTCTCCTCCTCCTCCTCCTCCTCCTTATCCTTCACCTCTTGCTCCTACGTTTGCTGGGGTCAAGAAGCTTGCTTGTAAGCGCTGGCAAGGCATAACTTGATGACACCCCCGTTGCCTAAGCTGAGAGGAGGAGGAGGTGGAGGAGAGGCGGAGGAGAAGGATGATGATGATGATGATGATGATGATGATGATGATGATGATGATGATGATGATGATGATGCTGATGCTGATGCTGATGCTGATGCTGATGCTGATGCTGATGATGATGCTGATGCTGATGCTGATGATGATGATGATGATGATGATGATGATGATGATGATGATGATGCTGATGATGATGATGATGATGATGCTGATGTTGATGGATGATGATGATGATGATGATGATGATATGATGATGATGATGATGATGATGATGATGATGATGATGATTGATGATGCTGAATGCTGATGCTGATGCTGATGCTGATGCTGATGCTGATGAGCTGATGATGCTGATGCTGATGCTGATGATGCTGATGATGATGATGATGAGGAGGAGGAGGAGGAGGAGGAGGAGGAGGAGGAGGAGGGGGGGGAGTAGGAGGAGGGGAGGAGACGAGGAAGAGGAAGAGGAGAAGGAGGAGGAGGAGGGTGAGGGAGGAGGAGGAGGAGGAGGGACAGGAGGAGGAGCAGGAGGAGGAGGAGGAGGAGCAGGAGGAGGAGGAGGAAAGAGAGGAGGAGGAGGAGGAGGAGGAGGAGGAGGAGGAGGAGAGGAGACGAGGAGGAGGAGGAGGAGGAGGAGGAGGAGGAGGAGGAGGGGGTGGGAGGAGGAGGAGGAGGAGGAGAGGAGGAGGAGGAGGAGGAGAATAAGGAGGACGAGGAGGAGGAGGAGGAGCAGGAGAAGGAGGAAAGGAGGAGGAGGGAAGGAGGAGGAGGAGGAGGCTGAGGAGAGGAGGAGGAGGAGGAGGAGGAGGAGGAGGAGGAGTTGTGGAGGAGGGGGAGGAGGAGGGGGAGGGGGAGGAGGAGGAGGAGGAGGAGGAGGAGGAGGAGGAGGAGGAGGAGGAGAGGAGGAGGAGGAGGGGAGGGGAGGGGGAGGAGGAGGAAGGAGGAGGAGGAGGAGAGGAGGAGGAGGGGAGGAAGGAGAGGAATAATAAGAGAAGAGGAGTAATAATAATACTAATAGTAAGCATGACAGAGGAGGAGGAGGAGGGAGGAGGAGGAGGAGGAGCAGGAGGAGGGCCATAAAACGTCTTGGAGCGCTCTTGGGCTGTCTTGCAGGCCTCTTGGACCCTGTTGGGCGCTTTCTGGGGCCATGTCGTGGCCCGTATCGGGGCCTTCTGACATCTGTGGAAGTCATGCGGGGCAGCCCGAGGACGCGCGGGACTCCCAGAAAAATTGAGGATTTGGGCCCCCAGTCTTGAGAATACTATCGTCCCAGAGTTTTGAACGCAGACACAAGGGAGCACATGAGACCCTAGGGGTAACTTCACTTTTTGCCTCGAGGCACGGTGGCTGATACATATTTGCGTGTATATACATCTACATATGCATATGCACATATGTGTGTATACATACTTATACATATACACATACACAAATATATATACAAATACGTTTACACAAACATATAGAAATCCATAAACATATAACTATATATACGTCTTCTACTTACAGATGTATATGTATGTATGCGCACGTGTTAACGCATATCTACACACATGTGTGCATGCGTATATGTTTATATATATATATGTACACACGTACATATACATCCATACTTACTATATATATGTGTATGTTTGCTTGTAGCTGTATATTGAAGTGGCCTTCGGCCAGTGCCCCCGATCCGGGGCGCTCCGACTGATGTGATCCTTCTTCGCCCTCGTCCCTCCTCTCTTTTTCCCTTCCCTCCTCTCACTCAGCATTTATCCAGTGGCCGTCGGCCTATCCCGCCACCGTGCGTGGGTGGTGGGTCAGAGGCCTCATGGATGCTGGTTGGGATCTCGTGGTTGGCTCGGACTTCTGGGGGCCTCTTGGGCGCCTCTTGGGGCTTCTTGGGGGCCTCTTGGGCCTCTTGGGGCCTCTAGAGGGCCTCTTGGGGGTCTCTTGGGAGCCTCTTGGGGCTTCTTGGGGGCCTCGTCTGCGCCCCTTGTTGCCTCTTGGAGGCCTCCTCGGAGCCTCTTGGTGCGGGAGGGGTGGTACTCGAGTTCGGACCCCCCTCGGAGGCCACGATCCTTGTGAGGGGTGTTAAAAAAACGCATCCGCCGGAAACTCGCACCCCCCCCACCCCACCCCCCCTTCCCCGGCAGAGCCACCCTGGCAACCCCCCCAGAGGCTGAGGCTCAGCCTCGAGGCTGTAGCTGAGACTCATTGAAACTCACACGCCGGATCGGCGGATATGGCATGCCCCATGGCGGCGCGTGATAAGGGCCGGCGCGCGCGCGGCTCTCTGACCTTCCCTGCGCAGCGCCGCTGCGCGCGTGGCCGCGGCGCCAACGAAGTAAGTGTGTGTGTGTGTGCGTGTGTGTGTGTGTGTGGGTGTGTGTGTGTGGTGTGTGTGTGTGTTGGTGTGTGTGTGTGTGTTTTGTGTTGTGTGTTGTGTGTTGTATGTGTGTGTGTGTGTGTTCTGTGTGTTGTGTGTTGTGTGCGTAGCGCCCATTCGCCAGCGCAGTCACTCTGCCTAGCCGCCGACGGAAAATGTGTGTTTGTGTGTGTGTGGGGGGGGGGGGGACGGGCGGGGGAGGGAAGAGGTGTGGGGGTGTGTGTGGGTTTTTCTCCGCCTCGTCGCCGCGCGCAGGGCCGCGATGCCAAAGAGTGGGTGCGGGTGTGGGTGTGGGTATGGTGTTGGGGGGGGGGGGCGTATCGTTCCGTCTCTTCGATGTCAAGCCGAACACCCTCAGGTGAAGTTGTGCCCGAATAACTGCCGAGTTACGCGCTCGATGAACAAAACGGAATCCGCCACGAAGCATCCGGTTATCTTCCACCAGCTCACCACGCCTGCTTTCAAGGAGCTCATGGCTTCTCCGTTTTGGTTCATGCGCAAGGTCGACGACGAGGCGATGGCGAACCCGAACAGGTTCGGGGCGATGCTGGCAGACTACACCGCGAATTACACGGACCCTGCAGAGGGGTACGAGGAGAACTTGAACATCCCCGAGGAGGAAGAGGACCTGCCCGATGCGCCCCCGGAGCCTGAGGAGCCCGCACAGCCCCAGCGCAGGCACCTCTGCCAGACGAAATCGTGCGCATGGAAGGAGTATATCACCACCCACCAAACCACCCCAACCCAACCCGAAGGCTCAGATTTACCCTCGATTTCTAGTGGGGGGGGGTCCGGGAACATCGAAAAAACACATGGAGCCCATACCCCCCCAACCCGAAATTCGGGTCTTCGGGTTGGGTTGGGGTGGTCTGGTAGGTAGTCAGTATAATGAATTGGGGTCCGTCTTGTCGAAACGGGGACGGAAATCATGCGGACGAAGACCCACAGCATGTCTTGATGATGTTGAGAGGACTCGCAGTCGCAGTCACCGCGGGCTGTGTCCATTTGTGACGAACGCGGCCTGCCCAGTTGCGGCCGCTGCTTTTGTTTGACAACGTTGGCTGTTCGGCATTGCCTCCATGTTAGTCCGTCCAAATGTCGAGCGTCCCGAGGGCAGCGCGCACCACCTTTGGATCAGCGCCGCCCTGTGCCGCAGTCAAGACCAGAATTATCGAGTCATGGTGGCGCACACCCCCGAACACGCCCCTCGCACCACACTCGAGCTGCTGCACCACGCGTCGGCCGATGCAGATGCATCGGTTGTCTGCCGGAGAGATCAACGCACTGGACCAATGACCGAGGAGCGCAGCAGGCGTGCTTCTCAGCGGCGAGCGAGGGGGGGAAGTCAGGAGAAGGCCTTCTCAGAAGGCGGCGGGATTTCGAAGGAGCCCTCGCGCCTTCTGAAAAGTCTCGGGCGTCTTCGGGGAGGGGCTCCCTCGCCCTGTGCACCCCTGTCTTCGGGGAAGGCCCAGCAAGTTTCTCAGAAGGCCGGGGGGGACTTCCGAGTGTTGGACCAACGCCCTGAGGAGCGCAGCAAGCGTGTTTCACCTTCGCACTGCTTTCGGGGTGGCTCCACGTTCCTTCGGGGGGGGGCACCTGGAGGAGCCGTTCGGCACGCTCCGCCTGGCGCTGGGCTCATCGCCGTATTGTGCATCCGAGCCCCTCTTCGCGTCTGCTGGAGACCCCCCGGGAGGGGAAAGGGAGGAGGAGGAGGATGAGGAAGAGAAGAGGGGAGGAGGAGGAGGAGGAGGAGGAGGAGGAGGAGGAGGAGGAGGAGGAGGAGGAGGAGGAGGAGGAGGAGAGCCGATCCCCCCGCGGCCGCATGCCCGCGGTCGTTGGGTGGGCGACAGGATCGTCCCGGAGGTCACGGTGTCCTCCCGCTCCTGCGCCCGCCTGCCACTGCTCCGCCATCCCGCCCAGCTCCCTTGTCACCCTCGAACGGGAGGCAGGGAGGGGCTTGGTGTGGGAGGAGCTCTAGTAAAACACCCGTGGACCTAACTGTCGTAACCCCCTGTGGCCCTTCTCCTCCCCCCCCCCATCCCCTCCTCCCCCTACCTTTCCTCCCTATCACTCCCTCACCCCTGTATTCCTTTCCAAATTACACAGTCTTTATACTACTCTCCTCTCTCCTCTGACTCTGTCCGGAGAGTGTTCCGTCCTCTCCGCGTTTTGTCTTACACCGGATTTCAGCATTTGATGTTTCATATGTTTGTTTCAATCCCGTCGTTTCTGGTTCCTCCAAAATGGTGTTCCCGCTGCAGCGCCGCCCTCACTTTCGTGCTTCGGTCATTAAAGAACGTGCTCCCTCTGCAGCGCTTGCCTCGTTCCCGCGCCTCCGGACGGCACTTGGCATTCGAAAGCGCCCACATCGGGCAGGCACGATTGCGGAGGACATGGAGCCAGCATTCTGGACAGGCCATGTCTTCTCGTAGACGGGCCACTTACTTTCCAAGTCATCGATGCCATGTCACGGCATACCATGCGATGTTGTGTTGTGCACCGCTGTGCGATGCCATGCTTCACTACGTAATGCCAGGCCATGCTATGACATGTTAGTACAGAGTAACAAAACCCCCTCCCCGGTCACGGCGCTGGGTTCCAAAAAATCCCCCATGGCCCAAAAAAGAGTATGTGTGCTCATTGCGTTCATTGCATTGGGTTGTATTGCATGGCGTTGCGTTGCATTGCATTTGATTGCGCGCGTGCTGCCCAGCTCCACGCTCATCCTTTCATTTCTTCTCCCCTCTTCCTCTTCCTCGCCCTTCCCTCTCATCTCTCCTCCTCCTCCTCCTCCTCCTCGTCCTCGCCCATCTCATCCTGGTGGGGGATATGGAAGGTTTGAGGAGGGTGAGGTAAGTAGAGTGATCCGAGGGTGGGATACGGAGGTGAGGTAAATGGAGGGATCCGAAGTTCGGATGTTGACGGTGGGGAAGTGCTGGTCACTCGTTAGTCGTTTCCCTGGAACGCATTGGGGGTCCTTGGGATGTCCTTGGTCTTGGGGTTCCGAGGGCCTCCCAGGGCCTCCCAGGGCTTCGGAGAGCTTCCGAGGCCCTCCGAGGCTCCCAAGGCCTCCTGGGGGCCTCCCAGGAGGCCTCCAAGAGGCCCCCGGGGACTGGGGCGGGGGGTGCTGCTGGGACTGGGGTGGGGGTTGGGGGGTGCTGCTGGGACTGGGGTGGGGGGTGCTGCCGGGACCAGGGTTTTGGGGGGCGTCTCGAGCGCGGCGCCCCTCCCCGCGCTCCTTGGGACTCCCCATCACGGGAGCTCTTTCGGAGGCCCTGGAGGGTGCTGCCGGGACCCGGGTGGGGTGTGTGACATCCGAGCGGTTTTGGGGGATGCCTCGAGCGCGGCGCGCTCCCCCCCAAGATACCCCCCCGGGGGGGAGCCATCGAAATAGCGCATTTAGTTGCGCTTGTGGCGCTCCTTAGGGGGCGCTGCGGGGACTGGGGGTGGGGGTCCCTCCCCCAGCAGCACTTGTCGCTACTCCTCTTCCTATCCCTTGTCACCCTACCCGCTCACCTCCTCCCCGCCCTCCTTCCTCCATTCGCTTGCCTCTTCCATCCTCGCTCCGCACTCCTCGCTCCTCCCGTCCCTCATTCACCTCCTCCCCACGCTCGCTTCCTCCTAGCCCGTCCCCTCGCTCCTCTCTCCCCTCCTCCCCCTCACCCCTTTCGCACTCCTCCCCTCACTCCTTCCGACGCCCCTCCTCTCGCATCCCACTACTACCTCGCGATATTTCCCGCGGCGCCTCTCCTCCCGCACCCCCCCTCCCTCGCTCCCCTCCCTTCCCTCGTCCCTCCTCATTCCTTTCCTCATCTTCTCCTTTCCTCCTCTCCTGTGTCTTCCTCCGCCCCCTCCTGCATCCCTCCTCCTTCTCCTCTTCTCCCCTCCCCATTCCTTCCCTTCTCGCTCTCGTCATTACCTCCTTCCTCCTCCCTCCTTCTTCCCTCCTTCCCTCATCCCCTCCATCCCTCCTTCCCCCCTCCTCTCTTCCCTCCGTCCCTCCTCCCTCCCTCCATCACCCCTGATATCAGAGTGTCGTCGACCACCTGGGAGTGCCAGGGGGTGCCGGGACTGGGGTGGAAGGTATGACATTCTGTCCTCAACATGTTACGCTCTGCCGTGCTCTGCGACGCCATGCTTCTCCATCCAGCGCGTACCGTTTGGGGGGTCACTGCTCTGCTCGACATCCGACCGTGCGACTAGACAGGATATCTACGCCATGGTAAGGGCTGGGAGGGAGGGGTACAGTGGATACCCATGCCAAGAAACACCCTGCTTGCCTCCAGGGTGCCCTGGGTTTCTTGGGTTTTGGTGATTTTGCTATGGAAAGCGTGTCGTTCCCACACCAAACAAACATGGACGCCCTGGGGTCTCAGGGTTGGGTTTCTTGTGGAGGGTTTCTTGTGGTCGTGCTCCTACTGTAGGACGTCAGATGTGACGCTAGCGCACCTAGCTTGCCTCCCCCCCCCTCCCCCTCACCCCCCGTGAGGAGGAGGAGCAGGAGGAGGAGGAGGAGGCGAAGGAGGAAAAGGGCAGGAGAGGGATGGGGGAGGAGGGAGGAGGAAGAGGAGGAGAGGGATGAGGGAGGCGGGGGGGCAGGGATGAGGAAGGAGGAGGAAGAAGAAATTGAGGAGGACGATGATGATGAGCATCAGCAGTGAGGTGGGAAGAGGACGATGCGTATGAGGGAGGAGAAGTTGGAGGATGAGGAGGAGGGATGAGAGAGTATGAGAAAGGGGGAGGGGGAGGAGGAGGGGGAGGAGGAGCAGGAGGAGGAGGAGGAGGAGCATGAGGAGCTACATGTTACGTGGATGATGAAGATGCTGATCGTGGTCAGGAGGAGGAGGAGGAGGTGGGGAGGAGGATGAAGAGATGGATGGGCGGGGGAAGAAGAAGGAGGACGAGGAGGATGGAGAGGAGGAGGATTAGGACACGGATGAGGGCTGAGACAATAGGGATGAGAAGGGGGGAATGATCGTAATTATGCTGAGGAGGGTTTTGATGTGGGGAGTGGTAGGAGCAGGATGCGGAGGACCACAGACGGATGACCAGACGGAGGTGGAGGAGGAAGAGGAGGAGAAGGATGATGATGACGATGAGGAGGATAGCGTGGAAGAGGCGGACGACGATGATCATGATGGTGGTTGTGGTGATGGTGACGGTGGTGGTGGGTGGTTGTGATGGTCATGGTGGTGACGATGATGTGAATGCTGCTGGTGATAAAGGTCTGGAGAAGGGCTGGAGGAGGAATTCATCTATATCGGAGGTTGGGGGTTGGATCGGAAGTGACCCCAACCGGGAAGTCGGTTTCGGTTTCGGTTCGTGTCGTGCGTGCGGGCGAGGCGAAGCTGCGCGAGTTCCATCCTTTGTAGAGGCCATATTTTGCCAAAACGGCCGCCCCCCCGAGCGCCGGGCGTGGTCCCCGATGGTTGTGGTTGTCCCGATTGTTGTCCCGATGGTTGTCCCGATGGTTGCCCCGATGGTTGTCCCGATGGTTGTCCCGACGGGTGTCCCGATGGTTGGTAGATTGATAGGCGTTGTTAGATGTTGTCCCGATGGTTGGTAGACAGGAGACAGGTGTGTATATATACACTTATATTTATAAATATGGACGCATATGCAGTTATAGAGAAACTATACATACATATATACATATATATATATAGAGAGATATCAGGGGGGTTGCTAGATGTGTACATCTAGAGACATCTATATATATAGAGATATTGACACATATGCCGATTGATTTATATATATATATATATATATATATTAGAGTGCTGTATTGAGTTGTTGATTGTTTGATTGATAACCTGGTCGACTGATATATATATATATATATATATATGTGTATGCTGTCCTGACTGGATAATTGGATCGATAGGTCGATATATAGGTGGGCAGATCGGCGCGACAATAGGACAGTTACAGAACTCACCACAGAACCCTGAGCCATCGCACATCGACCGCCTTCCCTTTCCCGAATAAAACCTCCTTATCACCCGTCGGGTGGTCCTATCGGTGTGTGTATATATATGTATAGACAGTGACTGTCAAGGTGTGTGTACTTCGGGAAGTTTGACCCCACCCGAGGCAGCGCTGGTGGGACCACTTGCGCCCCCACCGCCGCTGAGCGACGATCCGCAGTTGCAGCAGGCTGGGGTATGATGGGGGAACGAGGGGGATGAAGAGGAGGGTGGAAGGGAGGAATGAGGAGTAAGATCAGGGGGAGGAGGGGGAAGAAGATGAGGATGGGGAGGAGAGGTGGAGGGAGGGCAGTTGGAAGGGAGGGAGGAAGGAGGAATGGCGAGATCATGGGATGGACGCAGGAAGAGTGGGAGGGACTTCGTAGGAGGGAGGAGGAGGAGGAGAAGGAGAAGGAGGAGGAGGAGGGGGGGGGATAGATGGATAACTGTCGATATAGCCCACGCTGGTTGTCGTATATGGCTCAGCTTTGGTCATGTCTCTCTCTCTCTCTCTCGCCCTCTCTCTCTCTCTGGCACGCTCTCCTGCATACGGTCCCTCCCTATCCTCCTGTCAGTTCAACTCCAACATGGCTGCTGATAAGGAGTTTGCATGCTCATGCCGTCGGAGCAAGAATTACACACTGATTCCTTATATGGTTGGTTTGTGCGTGCATTCCTCTTGTGGCGAATGTATACGTTGTTTCCTTCTGCGGTGGATTTATATGTCGACTCCTGTTGTGGTTGGTGTTCGTATGTATTTCCATTTGGTGGGATTATGTATTGACTCGTTTCGCCGTGGATTTGCAAAGTGGTTCCTTTTCTGGCTGGTGAGCACTTTCGTATTCTCTGCCACGTGCTTGCATGCGGAAAGATTGCGCGCGTCTGCTCGTTTCTTCCCAGTGGAGGAAACCACCAGCACAAGCAGCACCAACCTAACATGCGGTTTTGAAGGTGGCATGCCTGTCTGGGATACACGCACGCGCAGGAACACAACACGAGGGGAGACTTGACCTGCTCATCGCCATACGTATGAGAATGCGGAGGTCCGCGTGGATCTCTTGGGGCGGGGTCGGCGTTGGATCCTCCCTGGTGACGCCTCCATCGCCGCGGGCGCCGCCAGCCCGTCTGGCGCAGAGCCAGGACAAACGCGCCGATTCTCGACAGGTTAATGCTCATGTGTGTGTGTGTGTGTGGTTCAGTGGTGTGTCTGCGTGTTTTTGTGGGTGTGTGTATTTATGTATATAGTCTTGTATCCTATAAAATTACATCCGAAAACCCCCCCGGCAAATCCACACTGGCCGGACCACGCCAACATAGTACCCATGAAGGCCCCTAAATGGCTCAGGAAGGCCTCAAAAATTGCTCCCGGATCGTCCAGGAGGCCTCCACGCTGGCCCCATTACAACCCATAGGTATTGAAGACGGCTCCAAGAGAGCCCCACGACGACCCAATAGCCCTCCAACACTTCCAAGATAGCTTCCAGGACGGCCCCGAAGCGCCCTACGAGGGCCCCCAATCGGCACCGCAAAGCTCCCAACACAGCTTCCGACGGCGTCAGACGGGCCAGGAACCCCACAAAACGGCACAGGAAACCCCCAAGAACCCCCCAAAAGACCCCAAGAGGCCCGAGAAGGCTCCCAACACGGCCCCACCAGGCCCCCGACAAACTCCCTGGAAGCCTCAAGAATGCCAGCAGATTCTCCCACAGGGCCTCCGCGTAATATTCTCCGCCCCAACCTCTTCTTCCTCCTTCTCCTCCTCCTCCCCCCTCTCCTCATATCCCCTCTCCTGACCACGCAAAGCCCCATACACGACCCCACACCACCTTTCCCAACCCCACTACATCCCACAGAGCCCCGCAGAATCTCACAAAATTCCGAACACCGAATTTCGCACGACCCCCACGCAGGAACCCACAGAGCCCCACAGGACCAGACGGGACCCCACGGGACCTCACATCACCCGAAGTGCCCCACAGAACCTCTCGACCACACAGGGCCCCACGAGACCCCAGAACAACTCGCAGGACCCCACGAGACCAGGCAGGACCGCAGCCACCCCAACGACACCCACAGGACACCACAGGACTTCAGAAGACCCCATGAGGCCTTCATAGACCCCACAAGCCTCCAAGGAACTGCACGGGACGCCGCGAGACCCTACCAGACACCAGGCGACCAAGCAGGTGTCCCCGGGACCAAGCAGGACCACGCAAGACCCCGCAGACCTCACAGGACCTGCTTCCTCCCCCTCCTCCTGCATCCTGCAGCCTCATCCTTCTCCTCTTGCTTCCCATGCCTGCCGTCTGTTCCTCCTCCTCCGCACCCTCCGCCTCCTCCTGCCATCTGTTCCTGCCCCTCCTCCTCCCTCTTCTACTCCTCCTCCTCGTCACCACCATCCTCCTCCTGGGATATTCCACCTCCTTCTGCTCCCTCCTCCCCCTCCTGCATGCTCTCCGACAACACAGTTCTGAGCATGTAGTTCCTCGGCCTTCGCTGTACGATTCATGCCGCAGGTCTGTCTTACGCATTTCGAACGTTATTCAAGTGGTTCCCGCCAGTCCGCCGACTCCCCGAATGAGTGGCAGCCTGTTACGATCTCGGAAGATGTGTGGTGGCCACCAGCCCCACCCGCCATCGTGCCTGGGTTGTGGGCCAGTAGCACGTTCGATGCCTCTACGGGCTCTTCAGGTCCATCTCGGAGCCCTCTTGGGGGCATTTGGGGAACTCCGGAAAAAAACCTCCTCGAGTTTCTTGGAGGCCTCTTTGACCATTCTTGGGGTCCTTCGGGGCGCCTCGGGAGTTTCTCGAGAGCCTCGACCCTATCTTGGGAGCGGCTGGAAGTCTCAAGTCGTCTTCCCCTTCTTCAACCCCTCTAGGGGGTTCCTTGGGCCGCCTTGGAGTCCTTCGACCATCTTGACGCCCTCTTCGCTCCTCCTGGAGTTCTCTGGGGTCCACAGGCCGTTTTCGTCTCATCTCCGAGTCTTCCGGGCCGGTTCAGACGATGTCCAAATGGAGGCACGCGACCATCCTGCTGATGTGTCCGGATCAGGCGAATGGTCCTTCGGATTTCTCGGCGTTCTTTTGGGACAATTCTTGGGTAGTCTCAGAAGCATCTTGAGCCGCCTTGCCGCGATTTGCGACCCCCTCAAGCTACCTTCAGCCGTTTCGACTTTCTGTTGGATTTTCTCTGCGTTTTTTCTCGGCCCTTTTGAGCCGTCTTGGGTTCCCTGGCCCCGGAAGGTACATAGGGGACGTCGTCGACGCACTTCTCCTCCGCCCCCGAACGCAGTTCTGGACCCCAGGGAGGAGGTAAGAGAGTAAAGGAAGAAGCCAATAGTCTAAGACGCACTCCCCCTCTGCTACGCGGGCGTCGGCGGGTCTTGCACATTGTGAGTGTTATTCCGGAGTCATCTGGGTCGAGCGCGCTAGCCGCCGCCTGCATCCATCGTTTCGCGCATTTCGACTTGCTTCTCTATCAAACGCTCCGCGCAAGCCGTCCGCCACCCCACCACCCTGAGTATGGCACCCCAGAGGACTCCTGAGAACCCCCGAAAAAAAAACGGCACTAGCTCGCAGAACCTCACAATATCTCACAAGACGACAAAGCACAAGACATCCAGACGGAAACGGCACGACCCCACGGGTTCTCACGGAACTCTGCAAGGCCCCTCAGGACCCTACAAAATTCAATCGGCCCCCACAGGACCCTTCCAATCCCACCAGACCCCAGACGACATCACCCGACTTCCCCGTCCCACACGACCCTTCGTAAACCACCCGAAGCCGCAGGATCGCACAGGACATCACAGGGCCCCAGAGCACCACACCCGACGCCTAGAGACCCCAATAGACCTCACAGAACCCTCGGACCCCCCCCCCCGACTCCTCAGGAGTTGCAAGACCTCTTCCCGGTGAAAGATGTTTTCCTGCGGTGGCCACGCCGTCACGGCGCATTGTACTCCCTGTATTCCTCTTCGTCGCCTCCCTCCTCCTTCCTCGCTTACTCCTTTTCCGCCCCGTCATTTCCAACCTCTTCCCATGCGCTGCAGAATGCATCCTTGTCCGGCTACGCATTCACGGTGCATCCACCCTTCAGCCCGAACCTCTCATGCCTGTTGTGGGCGGGGTGGTCCTTAAGCCCTAACAGTCTGACCCCCACGCCCTTTCGGGTACATGGAGTCGTCCCTTTGAGCCCCTCTCTCCTGCATCCTCGTTTCTTCTTCCATCTCTTCCTGATCAGCCCTCGCCATTGCTTCTCCGAGGTCCAGGGTCGCCCATCTCCTCCCGATGCCCCCACCTCTTCCGCTTCTTGGTCGTCCTCCCCCTCGTCATTCTCCTTCTGCATGTGTTCTCTCTCCGCTTTCCTGTCCCCCGCCCTCATGCTACTCTCCCTGCTCCATCGCCCTCTCCCTTCCTCCCTCTCTGCTTTCCCGTATCATCGCTATCCTCTGCTCACTTGTCCGCCCCCTCCCTCCTCCAGGCCTACGCGCCCCTCCTCTGCTCACTTCCCTTTCGCATCCCCCTCCGCGCGCTTCTGGCCCGACGGGGCGGCGAACGCATCCACTGGCAACATGTTGTCACCCAGTGAACAGAAGTCTATCAGAACGGCTTCTTCGGATGGCATACTCGGCATTGTTTGTGACAAAGTTGTCCTCACGTGTTGGCACCTCATGCTTCCATGTCGTAACTGCACGAGCTACGCTACATACCGCGATTTGTCTCATTTCCCCATATGTTTTTTGGATGGTAGCTGTACGTACAACAAACATGATCGTGACGTCTTCGTGCATGCAATCCAAAAACGCAAAACAGGTGGTCGGGACATGCACCATTGGGTTCCCGTCAAAACCCCTCCAGACGCGTTCAACCTTGGAAAACTCACGGACAAGCTCGCCCCTCAGGTGAACCACGACTTCGGCAAACGGAAGCTCAACCATTCCCACCCCATTCTAGACACCTCGAGCGCCACCAAACATTATCTCATGATGTCCAACAAAACGCAACCCTTTTGTCAATTTGGCACTCTTTGTCATCGTGTCCACAATTTATTTAAGCGAAGGGCACTACATGATCACTGCGCTGGCCGTGTACAGTTGGCTCTCTCATCAGAAGACGTCCCGGGCGCAACTCCCGGGTGTCGCCGCCGCCCGGGCGAAACTCCAGAAACGGCTCTTGGACCAGCGCAACACGATGGTTAAGGACGAGAAG